CGGCTCAGCAGCCGATGGGGTGTTCGAATAAGCCAACCCTGGAATCTGGAGACAAACGGGAGAGCATCACGGGAGTGGGAAGCATGATGACAACACAATCACAACAAATCCTTCGTCTCGCAACGTCAGACGACATTTACTTTATATTACTTCTCACACTGGGTGAATGACAATTCCACTGTTACAACATGAACACTGATGAACACTGATAATCCATTACAATGACTGAATCAAACTGAATGGTTAGGGAACACATCTACAGTACATACCTGGAGACAAACGGGAGAGCGTCAAGGGAGGAAGTCTCTCCTTTCCGCCTTGGTATATATACCCCAGAGTTGCCAGCGATCGCTACTCACGCAATGACAAAAATTACAAACAAACCAACTGTCACACATGCAAGGATGACCCTCAGTTGACAAAGGTCTGGCGAATTACTTGAGTTGATTTGCACAAACTACGTAATTCAAGATTGAGCTGGCCAGCAGAAGTGAAAAAAACATATTGACAACTGTGTTCGAAGGCAGGACTTACTGGGAGGGATCATGACTGTAAACATCAAATGGGAAAAACACGCTTCTTCTAGGGGATAGCTAACCCACTCATGTTTTGCGTTCGTGGAGTATAATAAGAATCAGGTTCTAAAACAGACTAGCAGTCAACGTGACCATGACAAAGCTCCCCCTTTCCCCAAGATTCTTATTATGCGGTAACGTTCGCTAAACATGTAAGTAGTTACACATATTCTTTAAATAACTGTTACCTTTCGTCACGATTTCACACTACATACACTCGTAACAACACATCTCAGGACGATTACAGGCATCTGGCACAAAAGACATACAAAACAAGAACACAATGGCTACATACATGGGATAAACGGTAGTTAAAAAACACAATCTATTATCATTGACAACATTGAATAGGGAAACAAAATACAGGTAATTAAACATAAATAGGAATAATGTAATGAAAAAGAAAAACATAAACATGGGGTTACATACATAGCATAAAATTTTTTTTACACATTACACACTCTGGAGATACAGCTTCTCATATCAAAAGTTTCACTTAGAGATTAATCAAATGCTTACTCGACACCACTGAGATTTAACTTAGACTTCTCAAGCTAGGATGTAGATGAACAGACCCCATTCAGTCGAAGGAATGAATTGAATGACTTTAAATGAAAGAGTCATTGTCCTACTCGTGAGAGGCAGCAACCTTCAAGGGATCCCGAACGAGCGGCGATAATCCCCAGAATACGACGCAAAACGAAACGGTCCTTATGGGAGCACAACCAAACCAAAAATATGTCTGTACTTATGGCATTTGCCATTTAGCGAAATCAGCGCCATTGTCGATGCCTGACTCCACCTAAGAGTCACGAACACTACTCCTATACACAACAACAACAACAACAAGCCGAGCTAGGTATCTTTACTCAACTGGTAACAGATACCCATCAGATGATTGCAGAACAGCCAATCCATCTTCCAATCTCTGTGTCTACTGCAACTTGACAATCCCTCTCTGGAAAAAAATTCAAAAAAAAAAAATCACATACACCAACATACTGTACTCACAAACATTCCCAGTTCGCCACATTCCACACTCACATGGGCAAACAACATACTTACCTTCCACAACTTACTGATGCAAGTCAACAACACATTCTCTCACTTACCAGTTGTACTTCTCAATTGCAACACAAATATGCAAAACATCACTCTTCACCATGCGCATCAACAACCAATGCCTTCCAGTCAAAGGTCCACAACCCTTTAAAGAAATCTCGGCAACGCTGATGCCAGTCTCTCACATAACTAGCAAGAGAAGCATTCCTCACTCTTCTTCCCTTCTACACTTCCCTGTCCATCAGGCCACGCACCTGAGGAAGCAACTGGTGGCGAGACCTGGGTGTCATTCCTGTGAATGAACACGTCTCCACCCACATACTTCTCAACTCTACACATCAACTTACTGGACACAGGTTCTGAGCTGGCTGCCCTGAACTGTCCTCGTGTGACGGCCATCATGCCTGGAGGTCACAACAAATCGCTGTAACTACACAACACAGGCACAGTGTAGACCTTCAAAAACAACGGATTACTTCCTAACTGACCTAATACACAAAAAACTCTTGAAATACTGTTCACAATTACTGCTCAAATACTACTCAACTTATTACTCACTCCCCTAGTGATAATACTGGAATGTGAACTTTTACTTTACCGCTTTACTGATGAATACACGAGAAAAACATCACTGTACTCTTTTGTCACTTTTCAAAACACTTACTGTGCACTCAAAGCAATGGTACTTGTTATTGTCAAGCTCTGTATGGTGCAAAACAGTAGGAACTCTTCCAGAATTACACTGTACTCTAGCAAATCAAACAACTTAAAAAAGAACCAAAGGCATTTCCATTACTGAAAGTTACGCTCACAAAAAATGAAGTGGTAATACTGTAATACTTTACGAGACTGTCCCCTCGGTGCTCAACAAGTATTCGCTGTCTTTTCAATTGCAATGATTTTAACACTGTTATCACTTCACAATGTGCTCTGTTGTACTCACAAATGGGGTTCCTTACATGTACTTTCAACAATCAATTTTCAAAGATTGCGTTCTTTCAGATGTCCATATCACCACAGAGTCCTCAAACCATCAATGCAATTGCTAAAATTACACATGTATTAGATCTCAAATAAACATAAAACACTCTTACTGACAATGCCTGTCAGTCTATACTGCTAGAACTAATGCCCTTGGCATTAAAATCATACTCTGATAGAAACAATACAAAAATACCATATACTCGGAAATATATAACACAACTCGTGTTATACAAATAAATTCACTTGTCAAAACTGACGTCAACTGAGAACTAAAACATTTCCAATTGAAATCAAAACAAATACATCCAAAATATGTCACAATTTCAAATAACACTCAGTTACATAACCTTAGTACAATTATGGCCTTCTGGTGACACTCAGAAAAAACACTGACCCAAAACACTCTTAACATGGCAGATGTTCACTGTTTGCTCATTGTCTGTGAATATCAAAGTATTAACTCGAGTGATCACAACAATTGCTATGGTACCAGTGCAGAAAGGCACCCAAAAAAAATATTACCTTGGCATACAACCAACACTTTCCTGAGATTTCACAAAAAGATTGCAAAAAAAAAATAGTTAGGTAGCTAACCTCTTTTTCTCAGACACTTTTCAATACTCTGAACATTACAAGTTTCTACATTTAACTGTACACTTTACTTTAAAACAAATTTCTAATTTTCTTGAGGCAATTGTTCTACCCTAACCTCAAGTAAAGTATTTGCCGTGAACTGTTTTCAACTTCTCCGTAAAACCACAGAAAAAAAAATTTGCACAGAATTACATACTCTACTGTATACTGGAACAATTACGGAACAGAATTATTAGCAATCTGAAATATTCATTAGTTACAGTGAAATGATTAGGTACCTGTGCAGAGAAATGGTTAATACAAATCACACTTAAACAAAATTTACCCACAGTATCACAGTTATTCCTCCTGACCTGATACCATGTGAATTACATCCCACCGCTGCCACGAGGCGGGTCTGGGGCCCTCGGCCCACGAGGTGGACCTGCTGTCTCATTCAAGTTGAATCACCGACATCAATGCATATATTGATCCCTGCTGGTTACCCACTGGCTCAGCAGCAAATGGGATGTTCGAATATGCCCACCCTGGAATCTGGAGACAAACGGGAGAGCATCACGGGAGTGGAAAGCGTAATGACAACACAATCACAACAAATCCTTCGTCTCGCAACGTCAGACGACATTTACTTTATATTGCTTCTCACCCATGGGTTACCAAACATCATCTACAATTATGAACTGTTTGACAACAAACCCTACAGTGACCCCTAAAACAGTTTGGAGAAACAGGTCAGGCTCTTCTGGGAAATAGAAAATGTCCATACCAAAGGCAGCGGAAGTGCCACCTACTCAGTAGAGGACAAGAGGGTTCTGAAATTGTGGTCAGTCACTGGCACCAAGGAAGGAAACCACCATTCAAGAAGAGGGGCCAGGTCTTCCTAATAACAAACGCATGGCTGAACTGAAGAGTCTAAGGAAACGACTTATAAAAATCCATGGCTGCACCAACGGTTCACTGAAGAAATAAAATAACTGTTACACAAGAGTTATGCAGAGTGAGTGCCCACTTCCCAGCTCCACTCCAGTCCGGGGCTGACCTGGTACCTCCCGCATCACCCCGGTATTAAACCCTAACAAACCAGGGAAGATGCGGATCATCTTTTATTGTGCCGCTGTTTGCTCCAACACGTCATTGAACAGCCAATTGCAACAAGGACCAAACCTAAGTAACAAACTATTAGGTGTTTTGTTACGATTCCGACAAGGACAGATTGCACTCATGGCTGACGTTGAAGCCATGTTCCATCATGGTGGGACGGTGAAGACTTATACAAATATATAAACCGAGTTCGTATGGAATGAAGGTTCATCTCTTTGGAGGAGTGTGGAGCAAGTCGTGCGCAGAGTACGCCCTTCGACGTACCTTCCACGATCATAACGCTGAGTACCCTGCAGCTGTGGTACAAGCAGAATGTAATTTTTATGTGCATAACCTGCTCATATCGGTGGAATCCCCGGGAGATGCTACTAGGATGTCTCAGCAACTGCGACATCTGCTATCAAAGGGAGGGTTTCGGCCAACAAAAATGGGCAAGTAACCCCAAGGGCATCCTCAATTCTTTTCATCTGGATGAGAGATGTGGGGATAAAAGAACTCAACCTAATTCAAGACATATTACCACTAGAACGTGCCTTAGGTGTGGTATGAGACCTAGAGAATGACCAACTTGTTGCCACGGTTCAAGTACCGCACAGACCCGCTACAAAAAGAGGACTTTTGAGCATTGTTAGCTCAGTCTACGACCCTCTCGGGTTCATTGCACCGTCCCTCATCAAGGCAAGAATGTTGTTTCAAGATGAGTGCAGGCGAAAGGGAAGATGGGATGAACCGTTACTGGAGCACAATAACACAGCATGGAAGGAATGGTTAAAAGACCTACTGAATCTGGCGAGCCTCCGCGTTCCCCAATGTTACAAGATTAAAGAGGTTGGACGAGCAGTCTCAGTCCAGTTGCTTACATGTTGCGATGCATCGCAGGCAGCGTACGGTATGGTTTCCTATCTCAGAGTGACAGACGACCTAGGAAGGATCCACTGTTCCTTTCTATACGGCAGGGCAAAGTTGGCTCCCCTCAAACAACAGACAATACCCCGATTGGAACTTTGCGCAGCTGTGTTAGCCGTCAATGTTGACCGAATGAGAGAAGAACTGACCATGGATATAAAAAAATCGTTCTTTTGGACCGGTAGCATATTAGTTCTCCAGTATCTTGCAAATGCCAGTCGACGATTCCATACCTTCGTTGCAAATCGGGTGGCTATGATACAGGAACTGTCAGAAATGAAACGGTGGAGGCGTGTAGGTAAGTCAATGAATCCAGAGGACGATGAAAGCCGAGGACTTTCTTTGGGGAACCTGATTGATGTTTGCCGATGGATCCAAGCACCGGTTTTTCTGTGGAAGGTCGAGGAACAGACGCCGGAAAAGCCTAGACTACCACTGAATCTAAGTGGCGACATGGAAGTGAAGCAGACATTGGCTATTTTGGCGACTGGTAGCCTAGCCACACGAGACACACAAACAAAAAACGCTCTGTATATATTGTGGGCTAGATATTCAAACTGGCCCTATTTACTGAGAGGAGTAGCTTGGCTCAGAAGATTCATAAAATGGCTTGAGAATATACTGTAAGCCACCAGCAAGACAATCACGGTGGAATAAGTATGAAGTATGACAGAGGTGCAAGAGGCTGAGGTAGCCATCCTACGTTCGGTGCAAAGGGAGTGTTATCTGGAGGAGATGAAAGCTATTGCTAGGGGTACACTGAGGGGGCAAAGTGAGATTTGCAGACTGGAAACAATTTTGAGCGAGGATGAACTAATCAGGGTGGGTGGTCGAACGAAGAATGCCCCCTATTGACGGGGCAGCCAGCATCCCATCCTACTTCCTTATCAACATCACGTCACTGAAATCTTAGTGCGGGACATACATGAAAATCAGGCTGGACACTCCAGAAGAGAACACACGGTGGCGTGTTTATGACAGAAGTTTTGGATTCCCGATGTCGCCGGCTGCTGAGCAAGATTACTCTGCTCTGCATGGTGTGCGCCGGATCTACTGGAATCCTGTGCAGCAGAGTCAAGCAGATTTACTGGAGGACCGAGTTACTCCAGGTAAGCCACCGTTTGCTTACGCAGGGCGGATTGCTTCGGACCTTTCAGCATTAAACAAGGGCATACACGTCTCAAGAGGTGGGGATGTCTGTTCACGTGCCTGACCACTCGTGCTGTACACCTTGAAGTTCTTTACTCGTTAGATGCTGATGCCTTTTCAACGCCAATATGATATCATTGGCACCCAAACCATCAATAGGTAGCAATAGTTATCAAGTAGCAAAACATTCTTTGTCTGTAATCTTTCACAACTTACCATATTTCACCTAAAATACTGCAATTTCTTCCGATTTTATTCTTCTAAAATAGAACAGAATTCCTTTCTGAAAAAAGAACCATTCCTACAGTATAAACCTGACACCAGTGGCAGCCATCTTCCTATGCCTATATCATAAGTCAAAACTGTTATCTTGCAAGAAAAATATTCCTCCTGTATTTTATATCTGTATCTCAAGGTAAGAAAGCTTTTATCTTCTAAGGAGAAATTTCATCAAGTAGCTGCTAAGGCAGGAACAATATCTTAACTATTACCCAAAAATAAATAAAAATACTCACTGCTGATCTTACTGGTAGCGTCATCATAAGGCCACTATCACTTAACTGAAATCACTTATTTTCATGTAACTGATATCACTTAGTTCCACTTAATTGAGATCACTTATTTTCATGAAACCGATATCATTTAGTTTCATTTAACTGAGATCACTTATTTTCATGGAACTGATATCACTTAGTTTCACTTAACTAAGATCACTTATTTTCATGGAACTGATATCACTTGGTTTCACTTAACTGAGATCACTTATTTTACCTTAATCATTATCACTTATTTTTACTTAACCAAGATCACTTATTTTCACTTGACCAAGATCACTTATTTTCACTAAAAGAGAGCTCAGGTTCTCAACTGGCTCAACCATGTTAATATTGTTATCATTATCCACTCTGTATCTGTGTTTTTCTGGCTAAATAAACTATTTCAATTCATGAAACTCTGTACTGATTTGTATATAGGGAGATAGAATAAAAAAAAAAAACATAACATTACTTTACTCGATGGCATTTTTGTCGTAAAATTATATTATTTGCATTTTTCTGACTTTCGATTTCAGGTTTGGTTCTCTAGATTCCTTTGCTTCTATCTTTTGTCTTATTGGGTTAGGTTAGGTTTACACACCTGGGGGTCCAGGGGGGCTGTTAGGTCAGGTCCTTCAGGTTTCTCTGGTTAGGTTAGGTAAGGCATGTATTCTGATATTTGAGAGTTCTTTGGTTAGAATATTGATGATCTTTTCTGTTTGACAAAAATTTGTTTCCTCCACCAACTTTATGATGTTCTTGGTAAACTGAAGAACTTTTCATCTTTTGAAAAGTTTCCGAACTTAGCTCCTTAACCAAGGCATCTGTTCGGATATTATACTATTTTAAAAGTTTTCTGAAACAGTTAAGTTGACTTTTGTTAGGTTTCTCTCGTTTTCAAAGCCCTATTCACTTTGTGTGATTAAAAAAGCATTTTTTTAAAGTGAAATTGAAAAGTAAGACTCTTGGAAATATAAATTTACGATGAAAACGCAATAAAGTAATTATTATTTTTTTATCTTCCTAATATAAATCGATATAGATTTCCGTGGGTGACCTCTCCCGAATATTTTCCAAATGAAATTTTGATCAGACAAAGTGGGCAGGGCTTTGAAGTAGAGGGAAATTATGGTATTAAAACATGCAAAAAACTGATGAAACCAACTGAACAAAATTTTACCAATATTAATCTAACATAACTATTACAAGAAACTTTAAAGAAAGAAAGAAACCAAACCTAACCTAACCTTAGTATTACAGAAAACTTTAAAGTGGGTAATATTTAAGAACAGGTGTCCGGGTTAAGGAGCCAAGTTAGGAAATTTTCCCATAGAAGAAACGTTTTTCAGTTTATCAAGAACATATCATAAATGATGTAGGACACAATTTAAAAAAAATATATAACAAAAACTAACCTAACAACTCTGATATCAGCATACATGTCTAACCTAACCTAAACAGAGAAACCATAAAGACCTAACCTAATCTCCAAACTCCCTGGACCCAACTATGTGTAAACCTAACCAAACCAAACAAGACAAAAAAAAACAAAGGAAACTAAAAATTCACTTAAAATCAAAGTCAGAAAAGCTAAAAAAAATCGACAATATCACTACACGTATTCTATTCTATCTTGCTCTATCTGCCTATATACAAATCAAATAGAGTTCTGTGTATGACCTTTTTCCAAATTTTAACTGAAATCACTTACTTTAACTTAACAGACACGACTTATTTTCACTTAATTGAGATCGTTGATTTTCACTTAACTGCGATCACAAATTATCACTTATGCGAGATCACTAATATTATCACTTTCCAAGACCATTAATTATCACTTAACCGAGATCACTAAATTTCACATAACCAAGTCCGAGATCACTACTTTTCACTTAACCAAGATTATTAATTCTCACTTAACCGAGATCACCAATTTTCACTTAACCGAGATCATTTACTTTCACTTACCTGAGATTATGGTACAGATTCGTGCTTTGTCAACCACTAAAACTAACAAAAATATGTTTTCGTGGCATATTTTGCGTTGTTTGAAGGGAATCTGATATTCATTTCCATCACAAATGAGCCTTTTTGGTTATATGACCCTTCCCCCTGCAAATACCAACAACATCGGCTGTTCTAAGTGGGCAGGGCTTTGTAGAGGGAAAATGTGGGGTAAAATACAAAAGAGAACACCAAACAAACCCTTAAAACCTTACCTAACGTTTCCTAACCTAGCAAAATACTAAAAATATATAAACTTACTATATTTCTGTTTTCGGTGTTTAGTAGGTGATGGAGGTGTTGTTTTCGGTATTCAGATGAAGAGGGGGGGGGGGGACCCATAAACTCGAAAGTGATTTACAACCTTTCCATCGGTTAGGAAAGGTTAGATGAGGTTTTCAAAAGTTTGTTTGGTGTTCGTTTTAGCATTTTTGGTTAATATTTAGTAGTTGCCAACACCTACTCACATATTGAGTTTTATATGGGGAGAAAGAGAGAAAAATAATTTATTCTAAAGCGTTTCCGTCAAAAATTTATATTTTTCGAGTAACTTAACTGACAAATTAACAACAATATTAGTTGTTCAAAGTGGGCAGGGCTTTGAAGTAGAGGGCAAGTATGGGGTAAAATGCTAAAAAAAAAATAATAGTAATTGAATACCTTACCTAACCATTCCTAACTTGTAAAAATATTAAGAATCAGTTTCGGGTTTATGGTCCCTCCTCATCTGAAGACCGAAAACAACACCATCGCATACTAAATATCGAAAACACGACTATAGTAATTTTTTTTTTTTTTTAGATTTTTAAATGTTAGGAAAGGTAAGGTAAGGTTTTCAAAAGTTCGTTTGGTGCTCAGTTAGTATTTTACCCCACATTTCCCTCTACTTCAAGCCCTGCCCACTTTGTCATTGGAGGTGTCATATCTCCGGAACGGCTCATTGTAAAGGAAATGAATATCAGATTCGTTTGAAACAACATAAAATACACCAGGAAACCCTATTTTTGTAAGTTCCGTGGCAGACAAATAACGAATCCTTACCAAGATTACTAATTTCCACTTAACTGAGTTCACTAATCCTAATGTTCACTTAACCAAGATCACAAATTAATTATCAATTAACCGAAAACACTAATTTTCACTTAAGTCACACAAGCACATATTAAATACTTCAAAACAATATCACTCGCTATATTATCACATAACTCTGAAAATGTGATCGATTTTATCGATATTTTTCCAACGAGTTCTTAAATACGTTTGATATGTTTATTTACATTACAGCCGCTCATCTAGGCATAACACTTTAAATGTTCTCACCTTTCCACATCATAGCTTTTATCTTAGATGTTTGTAACGCCATTATTTTAGCAAAGTTTTAAAAGAGACGTGGAAATCAGTTCACGGTAGCTAGTTATATGGAAGACAGTAAATGGTGTCGTCTGCTAGGCACTGGTTGGTGACTGATCACTGAAGGTGGATGGTCAACACGGAGCGCTCAGCTCGTTGTTTTGCTAAAATCTCCAACCTTTTACTTATTTTATCATCTCAAGTTTGTGTTCCGTTGTAGTATATGAAGAAAAAATATTAATAAAATAAATATAAATAGATGGGTGAAAGAAATCTATCCGGTGTCATATATCTTTGGAGTAATAAATAGTTAGTATGGTATAAGGGAAATTATCGGAACAAATTGAACATGCTTAGAAAGACATGATTTAACAGACCATAAAATATATTTTCGACGATCTAGTGAAACACATGATTAGGTTTATACCTGTAATGTTAATATTAATACTAAAACTGTAATATGGCAAAGGCTATGGGAGTATGTTTACCTCACTTACTTGTTAAGCCTGACGTGAAAATGGTTTATGAAGAAATTATTTTAGTCATGTGTATGATTGTTTATAATGCGGCATCAGGGAGAGTCCAGGA